CCCCGAAAATATCAGCCCCGTACGCCTATGCATATAACTCTGCTTCCACATTTGAAAATAACTTGTTATGCATGGATGCAGAAGGTCAGTGGTTGATAGTACTTTGTGTTGAGCATTCGGCCTTTCATCTGGCATGCCTGTACGAGAGGTCACTGTTGATTCGAGGAAGTGCGCAGCGGTGAAGTTGCCGTATGCAAGTAACAAACAAGTTACTGTATCATACAAACTTGCAGGCCTTAAAATATCGGTCGGTCACGGACATTGTCCGACCCATTCGTGAAATTGTCCGACGTAGAGAGGAAACCACCGGACATTCTGTCTGACCAAAGTGAAACTGAGGTTTATTCTTTGTCCGACCCAAGTGAATTGGTGTCCGACCGAACTGTAGCTTTGTCCGACGTAAATCAAAGTGTACCCTAGCCCAGGACTAGAGGCTTGTATGTTAAATGGAAAATCAGAGTACTATTGTATAAAAGGTGAAGTGGAAATGTTGTTCTAACGTAGTCGAGCACGGGGCGGCGAGCGAAATGGTGAAGTGGAAAACGGGCTTAAGTTGTCAAAGTCTTTTTTAACACTGCTGTTCTGGCAAGCAAGTTAATTTTGGCTTGGGAATAAGTATGAAAGAAAGAAATTATTTAATATCTTTACAACATTTACCGTTTATTAATTTGTGTCACTCAGACTTATTTCCGAGTCAAAACTGAACTGAAGGTCATCGGACATATGTCCGACCCAAACTCAACGTCACCGGACATTTTGTCAGACGGCCCTGTTAAAGATATTTTAAGGCCCGCAAACTTGTGACATATGAAATTTTTGCCAACTAGGAAAAATATCCAATCTTACTCAACTTCAAAATCTTACTTGTATTCGTTTTACGATAGTAATAATAATTTTACCTAAATATTGCATTAACAGAATTGAATACACCTGACAGTCTCCACTGGTATTATCGTCTGCTGCACTACATGTGCAGAAGAACGAGGCATCAAAGAGGACCACGAAGTGTGAAGAGGTTATGCTGTAGTTGTTGTTCAAGTGCCATTGATTCTGAACATTATGAGGTAAGTAAGTAAGTAACAAATGGCTTTATTAGCATGACTTCATATACAAGTATTGCAAAAGCTTATTAGTTAATTATAAATAGTTACAAATGCAAAATGTTCTGTGGGTAATATGACACTGTGAGTAATACAAGAAATAAAAATGAAGTTATTGATATAAAGAAAGGCATAGTTAACAAATGAATACTCTATTTACAGTATACAGTATATGTAATTGAAGAAGTTTGGGAGTTAGTTCGATAGCCTATTGACTGTCAGCATTCCGAGCTTCAAGGCATTTAGATCTCTTCTCAAAACATAAAGAGATAAATTTTGATAATTTTATCACGGTTTTAGTTTTATTTATAAATTTTGATAGTTTTATCACGATAATTTTAGCCACTTCTTACTCCAGCTATGGAGTTTATCCAGACACTTCTGGAGGCCGAATTTTGATTTAGATAGGATAATTAGATCATCTGCGTAAAGAAGACAGCTCAGTTCTGTTCCGTTAGGCAGTATAAATGGGTCTGAATTGGTGTTTTTAAATAAGGTCGTTATTTCATTTAGATAAATATTGAAAAGAAGGGGGCTTAGTATACAAGGTACTAAATGAGGTACTGAATTATGATAACCCCCCCCCCCTCTATTTCCCATGCCCCCGAAATACCCAGTTTCTTGCAAACTACAGTATTTTATCAACCACGATCCCACTTACACTGTAGTTGTTGTTCAAGGCATTGATATACTGATCACTATGAAGTACTAACAACGCTTCAGTTTACTAGCTGATATTTCCTGCAACTCTATGTACAATTAATGAACGTTTTTAGGAATAAAGTACAAATTATAAAATCAGGTATAATGCATTTTCTGGGAGTCTTGATGCTCCCTCTTCTGGTAAGCTATATACTTTCCCACTGAGGCTATAGATTACGCCTTAATTTCCAGCATTTATAACTGCCCTTGACTATACGTACTCGAAACGCGTCAACAAAATAAGCTCTGTTTCAACACAACATGAAATATAATTTTCGACTCAATATCTAGGCTGTCAATGTAGAAGAAGCAATAGAAACTGCTGACAAATGTGAAGGTGTGGAACCTGATGATGACGTTATCGTTGATGAAGACGAAACGGTTGAAACATCTGACGATGAAGGTTAGTATTATAATTCTATTTTCTCTTTAATAACTTTTAAAACAACTCTTGCTAAATGTTGAATTACTTGGCAAGTGTTAGACTACAATGTATTCAGACACCACGCCCTAGTTTCGTCTACACCAAACAAACTCAATTACAAGCAACATCAATCTCGAAACCAGAGCCTGCAATCCTCTGAGGAGGCTTGCTGAGGCTCTGGGAAACACCAGCGAAAGTCGGGCTCTGATTGGTTGTTTTTCAAGTGCTAATTATTATTCAAACTGTGAGCCGTATTTAGTGATTCAAACATCGTTTAAAATTAATATAAAGTTTATTTCTCTTTGTGTATGACCGTATTATGTTTAAACATATCAATGAAGCACACAGCATAACTTTAATAAACTTATTAACTTCCCTAGCTTCTCATGAAATCAATAGACTATTCCGATCAGATATTGATATGCCAATAACAAAATGTAGAAATATAACAACAGTGCAGCATTACCATATAAGGTCATGATAAGCCGTTGCCTATAATATTTAAAATAAAATAACACAACAATCCATGATTTACCGTAATTAAACAAGTTAAAATAAATCACTACCAGTATCTTACAACAATTCAAAACCATGGCAAGTGTTCTTTGAAGAATTAAAGTCGTAATAAGATTAAACAACGACATAATTCATGCTTGACGGAAGTAATGTCTATTTATAAATGTCGAGCGGAGTACTGGATCCAAATGTACTGATTTTCGTGCAAAAGTCGCCGGTGTTTTCCAGAGCCTCAGCAAGCCTCCACAGAGGATTGCGGGCTCTGGTTTCGAGATTGAAGCGACATATTTAGCTCAAACCTCCTTCCCAGGGCTTTTATGTGGGCGCGCGGTTGAGATGCCTTGTGGGCGCTAAAGTGTGCGCTAGCCGCTATGTTAGGTGGACTACTGCTGTTTTAGCCTGCGTAGCGGCTCTCAGGGAAAGGACAGCCTGCAAGAAACCCCATGCTTTGCCGTATTTACTAGTTCTCCCAAAGGACGAGAAATCTGATTGGTTCAAAATGAAAAAATATGCTAATTTGTGCTAAAATTATGAACAAACACGGCGGGGTGTTTCTTTGAGTTTTGCATTCAAAAGAGCTTAAAGGCCACGATTTACGGTTGAACAATAAAGGTATTTACGAACTTTGTTCATGAAGCTCTAGAGATATTGACTGTGGTGTCTTCGTTGGATTGCTGTCTGTTAGCAGCGCCTCTTTCGCGAGCGTGTTCGTTTACATCGACGACAAATAGATTTTTTCTTCATGATTTTGTAGCTAATAAATTAAATGTTGTGCCAGGAGAGAGAATTGCTGTGAATGCTTATGTCTTATGAACAGGACTTGCTCTCTCTGGAGTGATGGCTTCAGACACTTTTCTCTTCCCTGCATCGCTCAAAACTTTAACATTTAATTCATCACGGTTGACCGCTGTCGAAACTAATTATATTTGTACGTATCTACGATATTTCGTAGCTTTCTCGCACACGGACTGCAAAGTACTTGTGACAACGATAGAAACTGCTCTAGCGCTATTCCCACAGACTTCAAATTTCTTTAGCTGACATCCGTATATTATTTCGTTTTGAAAATTGCAAACATAAAGCAATCTATATTATTTCACTTTGAATTGACAAATAAATTTGCAAACGTAAACAATCTATGTGATTGGCCAATTTTGACATATGTTGAAAGTGGGCGTAGCCCGCAGGCTAAGTGGGCGGAAATGGCAAAACAGTAGATCTCGTACAGGCTCTCCTTTCCCTGACAGACGCTACGCAGGCTACTGCTTTTTTTCCCAAAATAAAGCCCTGAGAAGGAGATCGAGTAAAACATAATAAGAGTATCACTGGACAGCAACAGAAAAGGTTTCTGAATGCAGGAATGTTTCTAATACAGCGTGGACTGCGTAGTATTGACAGAAACAAATTAAAGAATGTGCCAAAGCCCAGAAAATACGGTACGAACTGAAGATTCATCGGTTCATCCAGATCTGAGTTGCCAATCTGATTAACGTTCAGTATTTGTTTCCAGGAATTATGGATATTGGTGTGAGCGAACAACGTAAATACTGGAAAACATTGTGTGAAGAATTTCTTCTTCCTTATGAGAGAGCCAAGTTAATTGAACATCGTAAGCAACTTATCCACATTAGTAATGGCTCACTTTTGGTCTTCTCACTTGTTAATATCTTGTGGTTTATTGTTGATTTTGGATTTCTTCTCGCTAGTCCTCTTGGTTTTGCGTCTCTAACATTGTTTACTGCCATCTTAATCATGCAGTTTATTGCAATGTTATATCACCGGCTCATGACGGTCTCTTACGAACTTTCCCGAGCACATTTTTTCCCAAGAATGCCGCAAGAATATCACCCACGGGAACTGTCCTCGATACCAGGCTCTGGATATGATCGTCCGCAGAACATTACAAATGCTTCTGCTTAAGTTTTCTTCACCGTACTTGAGAAGTTTTTTTTTTATCAATATAAATCTCACTTATATAAGGTAATTTACAACCGTCTACTTGAAGCAATAATAACTATACAGGGTGTCTAAAAAAAAACGCTATGAAAATTCAACAGGCTGTTGTGCATCACAAACTTAACTAAACAATTAAATTTTTACATAGAACGAAAGAGCTGTTATTTAGCTTTTTTATGTTATATTTCTTAAACCGTAACGATGAGAAATGGCCACATACTCGTCAAATAAAACTTTTCGGTCGAAATCACATTCTTCCACCGTTGGGAATTAAAAATACATTAATTATGCAAAGTTAATCAATCCAAAAGCAGCGCGAGACTGAGTCTGCTGCAAGGTACTTGTTTCGTAAAACGTTTTGATTACGAATGTTCTCTGTTCAGGGGTGTTACTTGAACCAAGTTTAGTGCAATAATGGACGTTCTTATGGTCTCACTAAGACGAAGATTGACGAGTTGAGCTTATTTTAGATCATTTAACATTCAATATTGTTTGTTTCGTTTTCCATGCAATTCCCAACGGTGGAAGAATGTGATTTCGACCGGCAATTTTTATTTAATTGACGAGTATGTGGCCATTTCTCATCGTTACGATTTAAAAAGAGTATCGTTGAAAAGCAAATAAGTCGTCCTATGTAAAAATTGAATTGTTTAGCTACGTTTATGATGCACGACAGCCTGTTAAACTTCCATTGAGACACCCTGTATATATACAATATGTATCGAAGCCAAGATCATTAAGCATGTTTATGAAAGTCAAGGGTTAGCGTTCTTTTGCAAGAACTCCCACGTTACAACAACGACAAAATGAACAATTAATTTATAAGTTTTAAACTATTAATTTAGTCAGTAAGTATGAAACATTCCTCAAATGGTTAATGAATGGATCAAAATGAAATTAAAATGAATTATTAAAATGAATAAGTGAACCGGAACTTCTACTTGACTTCCATTTTGAAGCCGCTCATGATAGGCTCCATGTATGAGTCGTACGTACCAGTTAGTCTGGTTCTGGCCCCTGAACTGGACTAACATATCAGTCTGCCTTGTACTATATATATGAAGTGAAGATGACGCATATTACAGAACAGAAATTACAATATTTTTCACGTATTTGACCTTATTGACGTCCAATTTCATTGCTCTATAGAGCATTTCTTTGTTTATCATTACTCATGAGGAAAGGTTACTGCGTGGGGTCTAAGAACAGGACAAGGATTGTCCTTTACGCAAACTGTAAACAATGTGTCAAACTTAATCTACCGGGTGTCCCAAAAAAAAGTACTCCGGTTTGATTCGTAATAACTTCTAAACAGGTACAGCTTTTAAAGAGAAATAACTTGCATCAAATAGAAGAAGGACTAACTTAGATTTCGATATATTACAGTTGTATTTCACTTAAAAATTCACGGAGATATTAATGTTTAAAATCGGGAGCATATTTCTGGATGTATCTGAAATATGCAAAAAAACGGCGTATCAAATAATAATCAAGATTTTCCCGATTGAAATATGCACTATTACCAGTAATTAAGAGACACTTGACAAATTGTTTATTATGAAACAAAGTATTATTATCTACAAAATACAAGCAAGATTTATTTGTCCGAAATCCGCGTGTGTTCCTAGCACGAATACTTTTCCTTATTTCATGAGACCACTGCATCGCGAAGGATCGTCATGGATCGTTCGTATAGTTTTGAAGTAGGGCATGCTGTCATGGCAATGGAATTGTGAATTTTCTAACTTCACATTGAATGAATTTTCTAACTTCTGCAACGTTCTGAAATCTTGTTGAAACACCCAAACTCTTTTGCCTTTCTTAATCTTGGCAAGTTCAGAATAAACTGAGAATCAAACACGATCAAACCATACAACTCCATAAGTAAAGACATAACAAGCAACTCCCCAGAGACATCCAACATTTTTGGAACAAAACGTAACAAAATAGAAGCGTTGATATTGTGATGTGTATTTGCAAAAAGCAATATTATTTCCTTCATTAACAGGGCCGTAGGAAGCTCTTTTCGATTGGGGGGGCTGAAAGCGAGGGCCGAAGGCCCGAGGAAATTTTTAAATTTAGAGTCTCTAAAATGCCATTTCCTGGACTTTGGGGGAAGATTTAACAGAATTCTGATAGTCAGAAAACAGCGTTTTAGTATGTCGAAATTTACAGGAAAGTATGGGCCAGACTGTAGTATTATAAATGCGCGGCGGGAATTTTCGTCGTAAATGGCAGTTGCGCGGAAATGAAGGCAGAACATTTGAGAAAATTTCGAAAATCTGGAGTCTCTAGATGGTCTGAAATGGCATTTTCAGAGTTTTCTTTCGCAAGACCCAACACGCAAAAGACAAAATAAATCATTAGTTCATCAAAATGTGCAGATTTTGTGGGATTTTCTTGAAAATGCGCGACAGAAATTCAGCTAAAATTTCTACGCGAGGAACGATCTGGAGTATGAGTAATATCTTCATTCTTTGCAGTTTGTCACAGATTAAATGATAAAGTTTGCATGATTTTGAAAAAAGAATGATTATTAGCAAATTATTGGGGGGGGGGCTGCAGCCCCCCAGCCCCCCCGGTTGCTACGGCCCTGATTAAGGAATAATATCCATCCTGCTCTAAGGGACCGGTCATTATTTATGGTGGGGGGTGGCACCGAAGAGAAAAGATTTTCGTGGCAAAAAGTTTGCTCACCCAACCATTAAAAAGTAAAAAAATTGATTACCTAACCTTAAATATCAATTAAAAAATAAATACCCACCCCTGGCCAAAAATTTACAAAAAGATATCATTCAGTTGTCACACGTGTCCTTTACCACTTCTGTGACATGAGTTTGATAACGGATTGGGAAATTTTCTGCAGTATAAAGTTTCATGTTGTCTGCACATGTTCTTTCTTTGGAGACATGCATCAAGATAGTGACTCTGATTGATTCACATATTGTATTGAGATATGACTGTTGACATTGCTTTTTAGTCTCCAATATTTTAGTGAGTCATGCTTTTGAAATGACAATAAATTTTTATTACCCAACCCTTGAGTTGTTTTGTTTTTCATTAACCCAACCTTTTACTCACTCAAAATTTTGTTTACCCAACCCTTTTCTCTTCGGTGCCACCCCCCGCCATAAATAATGACCGCTCCCTAACCGAGAAATAATCAACTTTGTTTTGAACCCATGCATGAAAAACATAAAAAAGTGGGCTATTTAATAAAAATTTAAGCGCCTGCCTTGCATGGTCTTTCATGCATGTACCTTTAAGTTTGTAAAGACCTATTAAATACTTGAATAATTTCGAACGTTATATTATATATTTCAGGAAACAATGAGTTAAGACTTACATGTAAGATGTCTAAATCTACGCCATATCCCTTACAAACCCTAACGTCAATTCGCTGAAATACAAGTTAGCCTGACATGTCATTAAGCAAACAAACGCTGAAGTTAATATTTGATATGCCGATTTTCGCTAATTTTAGACGCATCGCAAAATATGCTCCCGATTTTGAACATTAATATCTCCGTGAATTTTTAAGTAAAATACAACTGTAATATATCAAAATCTAAGTTAGTCCTTTCTCTATTTAATGCAAGTTATTTCTGTTCGATAGCTTTACTTGTTTAGAAGTTATTAAGAATCAAATCGGAGTACTTTTTTTTGGGACACCCGGTAGTGAAACAAAATTATCGAGAAATTACGGTCAATTATTAAACAAATGCTCCCCCGAGAAAACTGATTTGAATATTAAGGCCTTCTGAAAGCCCGGAAATGAACTAAACCCAACTAAACTGTCGCCGTTTGCCTTTCAATGCTCGAACTTACAATTTGCCTGCAAATCAGCTCCAATCACCTCTATATATAAATTTACCAAAAATAACTCGTGAACAAATATTGAGGGGGGGGGGGGGTTACACCCCACATCCCTCCGGTCGCTACTGCCCTGACTGAATATGACACATATTTATAACTGTTATTAATTAAATACAATTTTAAATGCAAATGTTTAAATAACGGATCAGTAAATTGTTTCTTGAAGCGTACTGTGTGTCTGTGTGGTCAGGTTTTAACGAAAAATATAACACATCTCTGATAAGTGGTTTGGAATAATTGCGAAGCAGGTATAGTAGTTGTCAACTGGTAGTATCTGAGTGAGTGAGAAAGCAATGTTCACTTTTTCCATCATTATGTGTTGTCAAGTGTTGTATTTATTGGAAAAGATGTAGTTTTAAACTTTACATGGCTCCGCGTATTAATGTCGACACTTCTGAATTGAAGCTGACAATTATCTGCTGTCTCGTTACGCTTACTGTAACCCAATTATGAACAGCAAAGAGACAAAAATCTTTCAGAAAGTATCATTTATATTGGTTATAAAAATCAAGTCATCTACAAACTAATTAATACAAAATTTGATATGTTTCAAAATCATGTAATCATAAAATTTTATTGCTCAATTAAGAAATTATTATTTGATTATTGAAATGTCTCCTTTACGTCCTTAATCATGAAACTATTTCTAATGTTTTGTGAAATATATTTGAATTTGTTCTTTCATTTCAAAATTTCCTTCATAACCTCATCGCCAAACTTGTATGTGAGCTTGGTTCTTGGGATTTTTTCGACTTCACCATGTTTGTACTGCCTTATAGCTCGACTCATTTTATCATAATTCATATTTCTTTTCCCCTTTTCCAATCCCCAGAGGTGTGACAGACCAACTGTGTTTATCAAACGGAATACGTGATGTTCTTCGTCTACCCAGCGAAGGTAATCTTGATATCCTGGTGCTTCCAGGAGATTGTGCAAAAATTTCCACAAACTCACTTTACGTTTTCCTAGATAAAAAAAAAACATATGTTATTTACGGGACCTAAACGGTAAATAACGTGTTTATTTCTTTTTATTTGATGGTTATAATGATTCCAATAACATTCCAGTTGCGAAGTACATTTGAGATCAGTTGCGTTTGTTGCTTTAGTCCATGCAAGCAAGCATGGCTGACAAACTAAAACAACGCGATAAAAAACTGGTAAACTAATTAAAATTATTTTTCTGATCGTTTTACAGTATGAACATGCTTGAAAAATACTTTTTGACACACAACTACAAATTTTAGTTGCCGATAACATTTTGTTCATTACAACATTTATAAAAAATATTTGACCGAATTAAGCCCAGGAATGATGCATGTTTAAACTGCCGTTTAAGGTATTTAAGCCGTCCTGGTTAAATTAACTATAGACTATGTTAGGTGGATAAATAACCAAGCACTTGTCGCCAAAATTAATAACCGTACCTGGAAAAAACTCGAAATGGAGTGCCTAAATTATAAATATGTTTAACAATTCATGAGGAAAATTCAAAATAAATGAATGTTTAATCAATGTTTGTAAATCGGATACAGATTTGTCCTGATTTACGTAAACTTTAACTTTGATTTTCTCGGCTTAGACAATGTTTATTTTTAAAATTACTTCGCCAATGAACTCATAAGATGGGTCGCTTTTTAAGTACGATGTATATCAGATAAAGATCGACTGCTCATGTTTTCGTAATGTCCAATGAAACACAAGTATTACTCACAAATACAAACGTTATCCATAAATGCACATGGTCTCTGAGCATGCGATGCGCTAACGCAGAAAACATTGTTTACATTCCGTGAGTCCGTAACGTATAAAATTCGAAAAACTCAGCGATCCAGATATCGCATTTCCAGAGACGTTGCACGAAAAAAACACCAAGCCACAGTGCCAAGAAAGTGCACAGCCTAATAAATATAATCCAAAATTCACAGACAAACGCGGTAAAATTCGTTGACAAATGAAGAAATTGTTTGAGATTGAAATAGTCACTCATTGAATGGCCGCCATCTTGAAAACTGATCTATATAGTAAACTGAAACTCTGGAAACTGAGCCTGCGATGCGCTAACGCAAACTCGATTTCTCGACGACGAAAAAAACAGGAAAAAACCCCAGAAAATTAGGGATTTAAGACACTTGACCTTTCAGGTCAGTGTAATAACTAAAGTCTGCATGTTTAACAATGGTATAAAAGTGAGCGGAGTGCAAAAATGTAATAAAATGTGGTTAGCCTATAGGATTGGCAATTGTAGTATAGCGTCATATAGCTGATTTCGTTCAATATAATGAACGAAATATCTTGGTTGATTTTTCAACCATTGAACCATAATTTTTTTTGTTTTTTTATTAACTTTACAATCAAATGACCGATGGTAAGGGCAACGGGACGTGAGTCCCAAATGAAGTCCCACCAAAAACTTAATACAGCAACCTTCATAAAGGACCCGCCCTATCGCTGACTACACCTACCCTTGATTTCAGTTTTTTACACAGAGTGTACAAGTTTAAAAACAAACCAGAAAATATTAAATTAACTCTACTATTTCGTTGTAAACGGCTATAGGCCGTGGGATGAGCATCCAAAAGATGCAATTCCGTTGCACCCCTCGTGGAACTACGTAATTTTCACATGAATAAATAGATAAAAACTTACTTTATCAGAATCCGTTGCTCCCCAAGTGAAACA